CCCCCCCCGCCAGCCGCGTTGAGCCCCCCCCCCCCCCAGCCGGTGCTTTCCAGGCGAGTCCGCCTCGCGCGCCGCAGTACCAGGCAGGGACGAAGGGGGCGTGGCCGGCGGAGTGTCTCAAAAGGGGGTGCGCGCGGGGTCCGGGCAGCCAAACGTGGAGATAAACGACGGCTGCCGGCGCCGCGCCTGACGCTGCCCGAGGCGTTGATTCCGCTGCGTCCGCCCGCTCCGCTCGGTGGCGCTGCCATGGTGAGTGCGGGTTAATCTTGGGGTTCGCCGTCGCCGGCGGGGTGCGCTTCTGGGCGCGGGGGCAAGAAAAGCAATTTCTTGGCTCGCCTAGGAGAGGGGGACGGAGACGGGTGGGCAGCTGCGGAGGCCGTTTGCATCGGGGAGAGGGGCTCGTGGTGGGGCTTCGCCCCCCCTCCCCGGGAGAAGGTTTTCGGCCAGGAATCGGGCATGCTGTCTTCTCAGAGGATGTACATGTTGCAAAATTGCATGCAAAGTTTCCTGTGGCAGCTTCGCCTAAATGCCACAGGTGGGCATTTGCAGTGTTCCCTCTAAGCTGAGTTAGTGTGAGCTAGCTCACAGGTTTTCAGTCTCCGGCTCACAGATTTTTGTCTTAGCTCAGGAAGGAGGGCTCCAGAGCAAACTAATTTATGCAGCAGCCAAATCGTTTGCTCACAACTTTAATGCCGGTAGCTCACAAAGTAGGATTTTTGCTCAGAGGACTCCACAGCTTAGAGGGAGCATTGGTGCCATTCAGGTGGGGCAGCCGTGTCGGTCTGAAGCGGCAGAACACAGTTCGAGTCCGCTGGCACCTCAAAGGCCAACGAGGTTGAATTCCGGGTCATCACCTTTCTGAAGAAGTGTGCCTGCTAGTTAAACTTTAGGGTAGTTAAACTTTGTTGGTCATAGAGGTGCCGCTGGACTCCAACTTTCTTTTGTGGCTGAAGTCGTATGATCTCTCCTAACCTTTTTGGCATCAGAACTAATTTAGAGTCCCGGGGCACCTTTAAGACCAGCAAAGGTTTAGTCAAGGTATGCGCTTTCGTGAACATGCACGCTTTTTCAAATACACTAGAATGGAAGGTAAGGTTCCAACTTCTAGACAAGAGGCTGAACAGCAAATTAACATGTAACGCAATGAAGATATGCAAAGACCAAACTAAATAACAAGCAACTGGTTTATTTTAATTTAATTGAGACTGATGTGGGTGGCTAAAAGACTGGGACTTGCACGGAACTCTTCATCAGACATCGGAATGAGCACTACCAAACAGCAGAGCACCCACCCTGGTGCCCTCATGTGGGTCCTTCACATCGCTGGGGAAGTCATGGCTTCCTACACGGCAGAACCGTTCACCCTGGGCTCTTGGGGGTTTTCTGAGAGGGAAATGAATCCAGTTTTTAAAAACCACTTTGAAAAATCACAGGCAGTTGTGTATGAAAAAAACAATTCAAACATGCAGGGGGGAAAGTTGTGTTCTCTCTCTCTCACTCTCACACACACACACACACACATTCAGGATTTCCCCTTCCTGGTATTAGCTGCACAGAAATCACCTGTTACACAGAGTGTAATCCACTTGATGATATAGCTCATGTGCTTTAGGCTCAGCCTAGGGGAAAGATTTTGCCCAACAGCCCATTATGGGAAGTGGGAAAGTAGGAAACATCGACTTTATAAGTGTAAGAGTATGGTAAGAAGTAGCTGTTCCATTACAGTGAAGGATAAGTGTTCCTTTTGGGGAGGCAGGCCCTTACTTGTTGCCCCGGAAGGATGTTTACTACGCTGACATCAGCGCTCCCTCTAAGATGTGGAGTCTTGTGAGCAAAAAATTCTACTTGGTGAGCTCCTGGCATTAAAGTTGTGAGCCAGCGATTTGGCCACTGCATATATTAGTTTGCTCTGGAGCCCTCCTTCCTGACCTGAGACAAAAATGTGTGAGCCGGAGGCTAAAAAACGGTGAGCTAGCTCACACTAACTCAGCTTAGAGGGACCGCTGGCTGACATTCCCCACCCCCTTCTTCCCGTTCTCTGGAAGCAGCAGAGAGAGAACTGCGTAGAGCCGTTTCCCCCGGGGGCTGCCTCTCGGGAAGGCAGGAGGCAGGTGTTTCCTTCCCTTCGACTGCTGTAGAATTTTTGAGCGCCAGTGAAAGCCAGCTGCTCAGGAACACCGTTAAGGAAGCTGCCCAAGTGGTATCTCCTGCTTTCCGCTTCGAGCCCCTCCACCCACAAGAAGGACAGTCCCGGTAAGAAATTTAAGCTATTTCCAGCCTTGGCTTTGCGAGAGCGAGAGGCTTTTTGTCACCCTCATTGCTGAGGCTGCTGAGAGGAGACAAGGTCTGTTCCAGGTAGCCTGATGCCGGCCTTGTGCAAGGGACACCATGTTCCCTCTTGGAGCTCGGCCCTCACTAGCCCCGGGCCCGGAGGGGATGCCAGCTGACGGCTGAGAGTAAGTCGGGCACCTTTGGGGCATCCTCAGAAATCTCCGGGCAAGCTCAGCCGCCCTCCTAGAAGCGATTCAGGGGAATCAAACTAAACTGAACTTCTAAAATAGTCTCTCTGTTTAGTTTCTCCTCCACTTTCCGATCTTCGTAGAGCTTCACAAGCACCAGATCTATGTTGAGACTTAATAATAAGTTTCCCTTTCCTGTAGCAGTTCCGTCAAAACCACGCAACCCGCTGATAGGAACGGTCTCTTGTGCAGTTGGGCGAGGTTTTACGGGGGGGTGGGGGGCGGCTTGTTTTGAAGCGGAGGAACCGGGTAAGGTAGGCGGTTAAGGTTCTCCACTTAGAAGCGGCTCTAAGCGTAGACGTCTGTTGCATTCTGCTTCAAGTAAGGTTCCCTACGCGGCTCGCAACACAGTCTTAACATCTCTCACACACCCCTTGCATCACTGCCCTGTTTTCACATCTGTCGGGCGACACACCCTGCATGCTTATTAGCAGGGGAGTGTGAATCAGATGTGCATGGAATTCTGACACTTTCCCTTCCGGCATCAACAGCTTTCCCCCACCTTAGATCCCTTCTGTCAATGAGATATCATAAGCCAGAACAAGCCTATAGAACTGTTTACTCACACCCACCACGTTCCAAACTTTTGACAACGCTCTTTAAAATTAAATTCGGAGCCGTGTTTTGCCTCTCTGGAGACAGAGGAAACTCCCATCGATTAACACTGTGAGCAAGTTCGTATTTTATTCGTGCTTAGCATTTATAAATTATATCAGTGAGCAACAGATTGTATTTCACAGCACGCATTATCTAAGAGCCGAACCCAAATTTGCCATCACACCTCCTTCGCCCTGCTCTCTGCATTCCTCCTGCTGATTGCAGTCTTCAAGTATTTGAAGGGCTGTCGTGTAGAAGATGGAGCAGATTTATTCTCTCTTGCTCCGGATTGCAAGACTGGATCTAATGGGTGGAAATGACAAGGGAATTGCTACTGGCTAAATATCAGGAGAAGCTTCCTAACTGTAAGAGAACAGACTGCCTCGGGAGGTGGGGGGTGCTCCTTTGCTGGACGTTTTCAAACGGAGGCTGGACGACCATCTTTCGGGTATGTTGTAGGGCTATCTTTCGGCTATGCTCCTGCAGAGTGCAGGGGGTTGGACTGGATGACCTGCAAGGTCCCTTCCAACTCTAACATTCTATGATTCTCCCTCCTGGCCCTCAAGACCCACCTGCAAGAGAGTCACAGTTCACTTTTATGTCCCAGCCCACCGTTTGAGAACCACTTCCCTAAAAGATTTCCTTTTCGCGTGTGTAGGACTAAAACTGAAATAGGTCTCAGCCGCTTGATGGACAGGAAACCAGTCAAGAACGGTGACACATGCAGAGATACAACAGGAAGCCTCCAGATGGCTGGGAGTGGCTGAACGCTTCAGCCCCAGCAAGGGGAGAGGCATAAATTGTATGGAGATGCAAGAACAGTTGTCTCACAACCCCCTAGTTGAGAATGACCAACTTGTAAATCCTTTCGTAAGAATTATAGTCTTGCAAATTAGTCCACAGCAGTACTTGCCTACTAAAGCTTCATAATCTACCCACACTGCTCTGTTAATAATTTTTGGCATTTTTTTCTGCCTCAAAAAGAACCAAAGCTTTGACTGCTTTGAAAGCTCTTGTGTAGCTAGTAGGCAGAGAGAGACATCTGGCCACAATTTAATAAACTTTCCCCTTTACAAACACTTTTCCGCCTCATTGCCAAACTGCTGAGTTCAGGCAAGTTGCTGTTTGCAAGGTCAGGTTTCTCAGAAGCGGCTGAGAGAAAAACAGTTAAGTCCAGTGTCTTCCTTATCAGGCGTTCCAGACCTTGACAAAAAAAGAGTGTACTTATTGGTGGATGTATTTTATGCAGGGAAGGACTGGGTGTGTGTTTCTTTTGGGTCTACCATAAAAAAAAGGTCATCATGACCAGTTCACATAATTCAGAACTCCAAAAACGATAGTTGCATACAGCGATGCCTTTTTATTAGGACCAATCAAAACTGCACAAACTCTTTTTTTTTTTGAACCCCCCAAAAGGGTAATTTTATTGATTTTTAATAGACTACATAACTACAACAGAAAATATAGGAAGGGGGACTACAACTAGGGATAAAGACAAGATACCCACATTAACTAAAAACCCAAGAGTAGGAGATCATTTCCATGTTAATCTACATGTTAGTCAATACGTGTTAGTATAACAATATACTTGTGCGTTATTTTTAACTACTGCTTCAATGTTAATAATTTTAATATTTTGAGAACACTTCTTGAGCATCTTATTTTCATAGGGCTATTTTCAGAGTCCTTCTGCCCTTACTTTTGTCTTCTTTCTCTGAAATCATACACCGTTTTGCTTGCTCCCACACCTGCACCCGCTTCCTCCCCAGAGTCCTCCCCCGTTCCAGTGGTAGCAGAGTCACTTGATTTTGTTTCTTCATCTTTGAGTTCTGCTTCTGGCCCCAGCTGTCATCTCAAAAATTCCTTTGCTTTAAAGATGGAGTCAAACTTCTCTCTTTTAGCATTAATTTTAAAGATGACACCTTCAGGGATCACCCAGCGATATTGTATTCCGTTTGTCTGGAGGAATAAAATTAATTCTTTATAGCTTTTCCTCTTTTGACGGATTTCAAATGGAATGGCTTTTAGAGTCTTAATGTTTGTATTCCCAAACTTCAGTGGATTTGCCGAAGTT